AGCTCCTGCGGCGGGCCGGCTGCCTCCGGCGGTGCTTGCCCGACGGAACCTCCCGCTACCAGCTGGGCGAGGAGACGGAGCTGGAGTTCAGCAAGCGCACCCCGTACAACTACCTCCAGGTGGCTTATTTCAAGGTGCGTTGGACGCGGGAAGGGGGGGGGAAGGCGGCCTCCCCGGGTGGATCGGGCCCATGGAGGGATGTCAGGGAATCAGCCTGGGATGATGCTGAAGTACTCGCCAGTCCCTAACTGGGAGAGGCAGCCCTGGGGCCAGGAAAACGCCCCCTAGGACGGGAGGGGGGGGCTACAGGTTCCGGGATCCTTCCCAGATGTAACTTTTCGAAAAAAGGAACTTTTCCAAGTTCCAGCTTACTCACTGTGGCCCCTCTAAAGCCTCAAACAGAACGACTCATTGGCCCAAGCTGCAGGCCTTTATCATTTCTTGGTGTGTGGCACATGGGACTTAAGAGTGGAGGTTATTTTTGCAGAAAAAACAGAACTAGGTACATAAATAGTTTTTCTCCCCAGTTAGCAAAATGTCGGGGACAGAGGTTTGAGGCCTAGGGAGTGATTTCCTAAGTCGTGGTGGTTAAAAGAAAGCCTCCCTGGTTTTGAGCAGTCTACCACTGCTTATGCTAGGAATGAATGAAGGTAGTGGTTTCTTTCCATCATGCTTGCAAAATTGTCTGAGGCAGCTGGCCAACCAAGATCGGAAGCAAGATGTTTTAAAAAGAGAGTGTTTTCCAGATCTTTCGAGAGAGCGGTTCAGATTAAATGCAGATTGGTAGAAGGTAAGAAGCGAAATGTGAATGGGGTGGAGACAGAAAGAAGGGAAAGATTGTGCGTGGAGAATAGAAAGTGCCAGTGCTTCTGGAACTCTCTGCCACAAGATGTGGGAACGGCTACTAGCTAGGTAGATTTGAAGAGGCTTTGCAGAGAAGGGGGTCTTTCCATCCATCAAGGGTGAGGAGGAAGCTAGAAACAAATGAACACTGGTGTCACGGGGAGGATGATAGAGAGGGACACAAGGAGAGCCAGGCTGAGGCTCATAACCCACTTCCCCCTCATCCTGATCTGCGTTGTAGATTCTACAGCGGAACGGCTACTAGCTAGGTAGATTTGAAGAGGCTTTGCAGAGAAGGGGGTCTTTCCATCCATCAAGGGTGAGGAGGAAGCTAGAAACAAATGAACACTGGTGTCACGGGGAGGATGATAGAGAGGGACACAAGGAGAGCCAGGCTGAGGCTCATAACCCACTTCCCCCTCATCCTGATCTGCGTTGTAGATTCTACAGCTGCTAGATATGATGGCTGAACATCATGGCTAGGGAAAAGATGCTAAATGAACACTGGTGTCACGGGGAGGATGATCAAGAGGGACACAAGGAGCATGAGGCTCTTCCCCTTGTCCTGATCTGTGTTGTAGATTCTGTAGATGCTAGATATGATGGCTGAACATCATGGCTAGGGAGGAAAGAAGATGCTAGGTTAGATAGCCCAAAGATGGTGTGATCTGACTGGCATCATCTCCATATGATGCTAGAGACCTGAAAAGCTAACTGGAGAGCTCAGTGAGTTAACACAAGGAGCATGAGGCTCTTCCCCTTGTCCTGATCTGTGTTGTAGATTCTGTAGATGCTAGATATGATGGCTGAACATCATGGCTAGGGAGGAAAGAAGATGCTAGGTTAGATAGCCCAAAGATGGTGTGATCTGACTGGCATCATCTCCATATGATGCTAGAGACCTGAAAAGCTAACTGGAGAGCTCAGTGAGTTAAGTCTGGCTGTGGAGCCAGAGGTTGGGAGTTCAATTCCCCTTCTGGGAGAAGAGCCAGCCTGGGTAGCCTTGGGCCAGCTGCACAGTCCCAGGGCGCCCCTAGAGGAAGGGAAGGGTAAAACAATTCTGAGTCTTTACCTAGAAAACCCTGGGAAGGCTTGCCGTAACTCAAAATTGATTTAATGCTACATAATTCTTACATTCAAGACTCAAAAGAAAACGTATAGAGATGAATTTAATCTTTACTCCAGTGTCTTAAATGTGAACCTAAAAATCCCCATATGCGAGGAAGGGAGTGGTAATACACTTCTGAGTTTTTACCTAGAAAACCCTGGGAAGGGTCAGCGTAAGTCAAAATTGACTTAATGCTACATGATTCTTAAATTCGAGACTGGAAAGACAACGTCTAGAGATGAATTTAATTTTTACTCCAGCATCTTAAATATGAACCTAAGAATCCCCACATGTCCATTGCCTCCTCAACTAAAGAAGAACTTTCTTATCCAAGCCTGGGTCAGGGTTAGCCCTTCGTTACTGGGTTCTTACTTAAAAAGTCTCTTATGGGGAAAGGTGTGTTGTGGGGCATACAGTGTCGGACTAGGACGCAAGAGACCTGGGTTCAAATTCCTTGCTTGCAGTCTTCTGATCTGCAATATGGGAGAGTAAGGTTTAAAGTTACAGCAGCGGTGTGTAGCTGAAGTCCGGCATACACATTAAGCTGTTCTTATGGGATGCCTGCCTAGCGTGTGAAAATATTCAACTCATGTTGCATGCACAGCAGTATTTCCCTTCTGAAATACTTGCACGTGTTGTTTTACTAGGGAAAACAAAATAGAGCCTTTCTTAGGTCTCTGTGGAGCCAAATGTTGGGAGTTCGAATCTCCACCGGGTCTCCTAGACAGGAGCTGGACTCCATGATCAGCCGGGTCCCCCCTTCCAGCTCTGCACTTCTAAAATGCTGGGGATGATTTGTCTACGGGCGACTAACAGTCATTGATGTGGCTTCAAGGAGGAGGAGGAGATCGAGAGCTTGGGGTTTCCCAAATGAGAACCCAGTTGGGTTCTCCCAGAAGTGGAGGTAGAATGAGTCGGATACTCCAGAAAGATTTAGAGAAAGTGTGTGTGTCTTGAGCACAGTGTGGTAAAGATTTTGGCGTGACTGCAACTCCCCTATTCCTACAGCCAGCATGAAGACATGGTCCCAGCTGGGGGATTTTGGGAGTTGTAGTCCACGTTTTGGAGGGGATCAGATTCATGGGGCCGCCTCTTCTTACATACGAGGAAGCCTGCTTGTACCAGTGAGTAATCCCTGGTCAATTACACTGCCTTTGATCTGGTGAGGCCTTTGCTTTCTCTAGATCAGTGGATGCCAGCCTTGGGTCCAGCCAGATGTTCTGGGACTCAAACTCCCAGAAGCCTTCATCGCTAGCAGCGCTGGCCAGGATTTCTGGGAGCTGCAGTCCAAAAACCTCTGCGGACCCAAGGCTGGGCAACTCCTGCTCTCAAGCAAAGCTTTCTACATCAGTGCAGCTTGACTTTCTCAACCAGGCTGGGAGAGGACCTTTCTTGGAACCTCCCCTGGATTCGCCCAAGTCCTCGCTGTCACGAGTCCGGCGCAAAAGTTCTGTGACCTTGGTGGCTGTCACCTGCAACCTGGTGGATCCCCCAGCCTCTTGCACAGGGGTTCAAAAAGCGGGCAATGCTTTATGATGTTACGGGGAGCCGCGTGGCAGAATGGAACCTGCCAAAGTTCCTTTTGGGGAACAAACCAACCCATTCGCCCAAGTCCTCGCTGTCACGAGTCCGGCGCAAAAGTTCTGTGACCTTGGTGGCTGTCACCTGCAACCTGGTGGATCCCCCAGCCTCTTGCACAGGGGTTCAAAAAGTGGGCAATGCTTTATGTTGTTATGGGGAGCCGCACGGAAGAATGGAACCTGCCAACGTTCCTTTTGGGGAACAAACCAACCCGCACGGCAGAATGGAACCTGCCAAAGTTCCTTTGGGGGAACAAACCAACCCCAGCTCCAGAGGAAATGGATCTGAGTGCCGGAGAGCAAGACAGGGTTTTTATATGCCATGTCGCAGCAGGCCAGAGTTTTGAGAAACAAGGAAAGAGGAGCCGAAACAGCAGACAATTTTTTTAAAAAATCCAGGGTTGCTTTTTTCCTGGCTCTGTGTTTAATTGCGTCTTTTTTGCCTCCGGCTCTGTAATGCCTACCCAGGCCGGCTTCTTCTGGGCCGCTGATCTTTTATGCCCCATCCATGGTTTTTTTCTGCCACATGTTCGCTCCAGCCACTTAGAAAAGTCCACCCACCCTCTTTGCAGTGGGATCGGCCCTTCCTTTCTCCTCTTTCCTCCCTCCTCCCTTCCTTAGGAGGGGCATCCCATGCCACGTAGTTAGAAAGGGGGCTGCACGGCCCCTTCTAAGGGGGAAAAAAAAGAGAGAGAAAGGGGGGGAGCAGGAAGTCCGCCACGGTCTGTGGTTCAGAACAGACTTTAAAATTAGAGTAGAAGAAGCCATTGTGGGAAACAGAGTCAGTGTTTTTTTTCCTCCCTTGAGCTTTTTTGCAGCTGGCTGCTAAGCAGAGGTTTGAGATGCAGGTTTCCTTCTTTGGGGCTGTGATTCCCTCTCATGCATAGGAATTTATGCAATAACAAGAGAACAATAAAACATAAAAGAGTGTATCAGGCAAAAACATTGCAGCACCTTAAAGATTCACTATAAGATTTTGCTATAGTTTCAGGCAAGCTTTAAACAGATTTGTCTTTTCTACTTTTTAATTTTGTTTTGCTAGAATTTAGAACTCCAGAGCTGGAAGGGAGCCTCGAGACCAGCCCTTCTCAAGGCCCAGCAGGGGAATCGAACTCCCGAACTTCTGGCTCCGCAGCCAGAGGCCTTAAATCGCGGAGCTATCCAGCAGTGTGAACCCACAATCTTTGATTTATGAGACTGACACCTTACCACTTGGCTACTGCCAAGACCAAATATTCAGGCTGCTGGATTTGGATTTATCAGCTATTGAGGAGCGGGTCATTTGTAGAGTTAATGACTCTTAAATTCGGCCAATTTAGGGCCAAATCATCTTCACATACTTTACATTGCAACAGGGGAAACACCCAACAATATTACTGTTCTTGGAGGGGGGGAATCTATTTCTCTCCCACCTAATGAAAGGGTAGAAGCTAAGCTCCGAGGGAATAGGGGAGCCAGGGAAGGAGAGGGAATGTGGGTAATGTTAAGGTCCCTGCTCCTCAAAAAGATCCCCCACCCTGCAAATCCTCGCTCCCCTGTTCCTACCGTTGCTTCCCTATGAAGTTGGGTTCGATTCTAACTTTGAGAAATTGTAGGAGGGCCAACTTTTGTCCTCACGCCCTCTTTATCATCCTCCCCTCAGATCAACAAGCTTGACAAGGCCGTGGCGGCCGCCAACACCTTCTTCGTGGCCAACCCGGGCCACGTGGAGATGAGGCAGAACCTGGAATATTACCAGATGATGGCCGGCGTCAAAGACTCCGACTTCATTGACCTGGAAGCCAAGCCGCACATGGTGAGAGAGAGGATGGTGGGCCCGTCTTCAAAAGTCTAGTGGGCTGAGGTTTTAAGAATCCTTTGCTTTGCCAAGCTCAAGATCTCTCGGGCTATAATTCCAAAGAGCACCCTTCTCCTGTTATTGAACTCTATGGGGACACTTACAACCGTGGGACCGGCAACCCTTAGGGATGCCGAAAATCTGCAGGTACAGACGTGCCCCGCTTTACGATTACCCCATTTAACGACGAATCCGCTTGACGGTGAGGTTTTTGCAATTGCTTCTGAATGGGGTTTTTCCACATTGCGATGATCAGTTCCCTGCTTTGGGAACCGATTTTCGCTTTACGACAATCAAAAACAGCTGATTGTCGGGTTCCAAAATGGCCGCCGGCTGGAGAAAATGGCCCCCCGCTGTGCTTAGGGATGGATTCCTCGCTGCACAGGCACTGAAAATGGCCGCCCCTATGGAGGATCTTCGTTGGATGGTGAGTTTTCAACCCATTGGAACGCATTGAAAGGTTTTCAGTGCATTTCAATGGGCTTTTTTATTTCGCTTTACGACGTTGTTGCTCTACAGCGATTTCACTGGAACGAATTAACGTTGTAAAGCGAGGCACCACTGTAATGGGAAATCCTATATTTAGCATGGTCTCCGGCTCCCTCTAATGGCCAGTTATGCAAATTACATTGTGGAAGTACATATTTTTGGGTGGGTTTTTTTGTTGATTTTTTTTTGTTTTTGTTTTTTGAATTTTTTTTTTGTGGTTTGTTTGTTTTTTGTTGTTGTTGTTTTTGGTGTTTTTTTAAAAAAAAAATTAATGTTTTCAGACAGGGAATAACTGAAAACGTGGATACTGATTTCACAGATGGGGTGTCCTCCCGTAGTTTCCCTGAGCTCTTTTTCAGTTCTCTCAAAATCCCCTCCCTCCATTTCCACTCCACTTAGCTGTTTTGTGCCTCCACCTCTTGTTTGTTTTTTGTTGTTGTTGTTTTTGGTGTTTTTTTAAAAAAAAAATTAATGTTTTCAGACAGGGAATAACTGAAAACGTGGATACTGATTTCACAGATGGGGTGTCCTCCCGTAGTTTCCCTGAGCTCTTTTTCAGTTCTCTCAAAATCCCCTCCCTCCATTTCCACTCCACTTAGCTGTTTTGTGCCTCCACCTCTCGCGGGAAAATATTGATGGCTGGCTGTGACTCTTTTCTTGTGGCTTTCCATAGGAAGAATTCCGTCTGGGCGTGAGCTATTACACGGAGGAGGATCCCCAGGCAGCCATTGTTCACCTGGAGAAAGCACTGGAAGATTACTGGGCAGCCGACGCGGAGTGCCGAGCCCTGTGCGAAGGGGCGTACGACTACGATGGCTACAATTACCTGGACTACACCGCCGACCTCTACCAAGCAATTGTTGGTGAGCTCCACACGACGCAGGCAGGAATTCGGTGCCATCTACACACAGGGAAAGAGAAGAAACAACCCCTTTCTAGTTGGCTTCCAGCTCTTAAGAGCCGAGACCCATGACCAGCTGCCCAGGTGATGCTGGTAGTAGGGGTGAGAATGATGATGATTCATTCGCAATCTCAAGCCCGAACTATCTCTGGAAGCAAAAATGTTGAAGCTGTCCTACTTTGGGTACATCATGAGAAGGCTGGGTTCTCTGGAAAAGACAATACATTAGGATCCCTGCATCCACTGGAGCAGGATTCGCAGTTTCTCCACGGTTTGAAAATAATAAAAGAAAAAAAACTAGAATTGCGTATTTTCATGATGTAGCAGTTTCACTTATCCACAGTTTGAAAATAATAAAAGGAAAAAACTAGAATTTTTCACCAGAACCAGCCACTAGAGGGAACAGGAGAAGACCATGCTATATATTCTTGTTGTTGAAGACTACATAACATGCTCTCTGGCTTCCCCTAGTGGCCTTTTCTGATAATACAAGGTGAAAATATTTTTTTTTCTGTATTTTTTCTTTTGCCATACTGTACTGTGTATAGCTTTCGCTATTATCCATGATTTTCAACGTCTGTTAGAATAAATATCTCATTCTGTGCTTCCTCCTGCAATTTTTCTTTCACCAGATCATTACACACAAGTATTGAGTTGCAAACAAGGCTGTGCCACAGAGCTGGCTTCTCAGGCTGGTCGTGACAAGCCCATCGAGGACTTCCTCCCATCTCATTTCAACTACCTTCAGTTTGCATATTACAACAGTAAGTTGGATGTCAGGGAATTGCTTATTTATAAAAAGGGTTTATTCTCCCATAGCTGACCGGATAGCTCAGTGAGTTAGGTCTCTGGCTGCATAGCCAGACGTTGGGATGTTCAATTCCCCCACTTTGCCTCCTGGGAGAAGAGCCAGCCTAGGTGGCCTTGGGCAAGCTGCACAGTCCCAGGGCACCCCCAGAAGAAGGGAAGGGTAAACCATTTCTATTTACATGGGAAGCACTAGAAAAGGTCTTTATAAGTCAGAATTGACTTGACAGCACATGATGATGATTCAAAAATACCAGGCATAGTCAATCAAATAATGGAGAATATTTTGAAAACGAAAGAACCAAAGACTCAGTATAAGAAACAACAATTTGAAAAGAAACTAAACAGTTGGAAAAATAAAACACTACATGGACAAGATCTGAGGAATATTGATGGAAAGCATGGAAAAAATTCAACACTTGCATGGCTAAAACTGGGGACCCTTAAGAAAGAAACCGAAGGCTTGATTTTTGCTGCACAAGAACAAGCAGTCCAAATCAATGTGATGAAACTAAGATTCAAGGAATTAGGGCTAACAGCAAATGCCAAAATTGCTATTAAAAAGGTATTCATTCCTTTCCAGGTGGCAACTATGAGAAGGCCATTGAATGTGCCAAAACTTATTTACTCTTTTTCCCCAATGATGAAGTCATGAAACAAAATCTCGCCTACTACTCTGCTATGCTGGGAGAGGATTTGGCTAAACCCATACGTCCCAGAGAGGTGAGCCTCTCAACCTGCCTGTTCCCTGTTCTCATCGCTTAGAGTAAGCCCTTGACCTGTGCCATTAAGGGAGACTCTCTAGGGTGGAAACCAGGCTGCTCAGAATACCTTTGTATCCCATAATTCTCAAATCTGGGCTCTACCTGACAGACTGGCACCTCACAGACACCTACATTTGGCTTTCCTGGGGGAAAGGTCTAAAGTGGAAGGTTTTCAGACTGCGCTAGGCCTAGCTGAACCCAAAATGTCCTCTTCCTGCCCCAGTGTTTGCTGGGAGATTTCATTGTGAAGAGAAAAGGGGATCTGCTGGGAGATTTCATTGTGAAGAGAAAAGGAGAAATAGCTAGGCCTCAAAACCTTCACAGTTTAGGCCTTTCTCTCAGGTGAGCCACATTTAAGTGTTTATACAGTAAGTGTCTGCCCATCAGGTAGAATGGAGAATGATGGATTTAGTTGTCCAAACCTTCAGAACTTTTCAGGGCCAAGATTCCTCTGAGCAAGGGACTTCTAGTACGCTTTAAAGTTTAAAAGGAACATTTCCAAACTCTATGGACATTCACTCTTGAATTCGCCTTTTCGGCCACACAGACGCTGTTCCAAGTCCTCCATACAGAGCACATGACCATAGTCTCTCGAGACTGAAGGAGGCCTAATCTAAGACATTCACTACCAGATGTTGCTGGAGGCAGTGGAAGTGCTCTCTTGATCTGATATGCTTTCCTCTCTTTTCCGGCCCTCTCAGAACGTCGAGATATACCGGCGGCACAGCCTGCTGGAGAAGGAGCTGCTCTTTTTCGCCTACGATACATTTGGCATCCCTTTTGTGGACCCGGTAAGTGACAAGGAAGGGAGAACTATGGCCCCTGTAGGCCACAACACCTTCCCTTGGCCTTGTCAAGGAAAAAACAGGCAAGGTTTTCTGCAGGAAAGCCAGAGGATGTGAGCTGCCATCAAAATAATAATAATAATAATAATAATAAT